TATATATTCCTGCGCGTCAGATGAGCAGGAAGTGACGTGTCTTGTGTAGATCTACGTCTGTGCGGCGGGGCTTTAAGTGTGTAAGAGTGATGCTGTCAGGACGAAGTGTGTCTCGTCTCTAAGCACAGCGTGTGAAAATATTACCTAGTGTGTAGATTCTACACGCTCTGTGTGTTCTCAGAATGAACCACATGAGATTTTGTTTTTCCTTCCCTCTACTATGATTTCAAAAAGGGTCAAAGATTTTCTGGCCACTCTATCAGCTGTCATGAGCTTTAACCCTTACAATTCCCAGCCCGATACTGTTTTGAACTCTTTAGAAGGAGTTTAATTTGAGCGAGTCTGGCAGAGAAAGGGTTAAGAACACGACGAAAGCTACAGTACTGGGATGACGTCACGGAAAGAAATATCAAGAGTGCCTGAAATTTTCTTGAAAAGAGAAGACTATTTATTATCTGTACAGTTTGTGTTTGTAAAAGTTTTGACCCAGCCAACTTTTGCTCCCCTAGCAGATCAAATTAATGTTAGTTTTTAAAAATGGAACAGTGAACATTGTTTTCTTTTGTTTACAGTGGTAAAGATAATCACATGTCTAAAAACAATGGGCTCTACCTCTATAAAGTAGCACAATCTTAATACAACAACATCAGCAAATTTTCCAGAATATCCAAACTGCCAAGGCATGAACGAAAAAAAAATTCATTTCTCATGACTAAATAAAAGTTTTAATATGACACCCTCCCGATTGAGTGATTGAATAAATGTTGAAAATACTAATGTTGCTACGTCATACCGCCATATTCCATGACGTCATCCAGCTTGACCTACACGCCTCACGTAACACTGACCGCAGTAGCGTCATAGGTTTCTACCGCTGTACTTCTGACTCACACTTCTGTTTTTGGGTTTTCGCGCGCTTGCCTGGCGATGAAATTCATGCATATTCATTTATCCATTGAGAGCTTTAGTGACTCCAGAGTAGACATTCGCTGCGTTGGCGTTCCTTCAGTTGTGTTTGGCTTCTTTTTTTAAAACTTTTGTACGAGAACCGTTTTTTGTAGCTGAAATAAAATGATTTTAAAGAAAAAGAAGTCACTTTCTTTGTTGTATATTTGTTCAGCAGTTCTTTGTCACGCTTTATGTCTGTCTGTCTGTTTGTCTCCCCCCTCCCCCCCTCAACCTTTATACTGTTTTTCTTCAATCTCTCTCCCTATCCTCCCCACTCTTTCCCCCTGTCTCTCTTTCTCTTTCTCTCTTTCTGCATCTCTCTCTCTCTCTCTCTCTCTCTCTCTCTCTCTCTCTCTCTCTCTCTCTTTCGCTCTCTCTCTGTCCTTCTCTCTCCCCCTCTTTCTCTCCCCATCTCTCTCCTTTCTTTCCATCGTTCTCCTCTCTCTCTCTCTTTCTCTCTCTCGCTCTCTTTATCTTTCTATCTCTCTCGCTCTCTCTCTCGCTCTCTCTCTCTCTGTCTTTCTCTCTCTTTCTCTGTTTGTTTGTGTGCTATGTTTGTCCAAGTGGTTATGTCAATGCGTTTGTGTGTTTGCATTCATGCGTTTGCATGTGCGTTTGTCCTGTTTACACTCGTGTGTTTGTAAGTGTGTTTTGTGTGGATGCACTCATCCGCGCATGAGCGAGTTTGTGAGTATTTATATTACGGGGAACGTACACAGGCCATCAAGCGGTGTAGATGTTAAATGAAGGTATTTATACGCCTTAATCAACACACTTTAGATCATTTAAGAAGGCCTTGCCTGTCAGGGCCAACCCAGACTGAGAGGGATACAACATCCCAGCAAAAAGATGGGAGC